TATTGTACTACTATACTACTGACTACTACGCCACCCCCTCAATAGACAACCATAACAGTATCCATAACACGAATAACAGTATTGACAACAACAACAACAACAACAACAACAACAACAACAACCACGACCACAACCACGACCACAACCACAACGACAACGACCACGACAACGACAACAATGACGACCGCCACAGCCAACAGCAATACGAGATAATAACAACCATGTGGTTCTGATTTCCGTGTTTCAGGTTACATACCTTGTTGGGCCGTTCTGAGTGCTTGATCACGAGGAGAGAGCCCTGACTAACCAGGATGAGGCTTTGGTGCATATTATCGTAGAGAGTTTAGGGTTGAATGGACTTTGTGGGGATGGACTTCCAAAATACTCAGACCTCCATTTTGGGGTGTCCTTTGCCGCTGACCACTGCTCTATTGAGCCTTCAGTCTGCAATGGCTTTGGTGTTTTGGTAGGGTTGTACATTGCAGAATTGCTCGGTCTACACCCCTCGACTCGCGAAGCCATAGACAGATCGGGCGGATCCGAACGAGAGCTCAGATCTCAGTATAGCACCTCAAAGAATTGGTAAATTGTAGGAAGGGGTAGAAGCATCATCATCACCCCATTGACCTAAGCCCTATTGGTAGCTGTATCTTCTTCTCCGGATCATCGGATAAAACCCATGAGCCCCGATAAGTTAAACCCGACACCCTGCCCTTACCGAACCCTGAAACACTTCATCAGAGAGAACAAAGCAGATAACCCGCATCGAAACATAGAAAACCCTAAAGCCTGACCCTTATGGAACGCCCCGAGCTTAATCTGGGGGCCTTAAGAATTAGAATAGGGTGTTGGGGGTATATTCTACTATAATTCTAATAAGGAGCCTCCCAAATAATATAGGTAATTATTGAGCCTAAACCCTAAACCCTTATAGAAGCCCTTATAGAACCCTTTAAGGGACCCCCCCCCCTCCCCCCCAAAAAAAAGAGTATAGGTAACTATTGAGGCCTCTCCACTAAACCCTCAACCCTAAACCCCCCAAACCCTGAACCCTAAACCCTAAACCCTAAACTCCAAACCCTTGAGGCCCCTGTATTAGACTAAAGAGACGGGCTGCACGGCCCCCGCAGATTCAGCTTCCTGCTGCAACCTTCCGGAAGAAAGGTTTTGCTTCTATGAGTTTGGGGTTTTAGGGTTTAGGGCCTAGGGTTTAGGGCTTATAGGGTTTAGGCCTTTCGGCGTGCAATCCCGCAATTGGCCTGGCCTTTGCGTCGATATTTGCGGGCTTCCGAACATAAGGGGTACCTTATTTGGGGTCCTTAAAATATTAGGGTCCCCTGTTATCGGAAACCCCATTTATATTCAACATTATTTAACCACTAGGGTGAGTGCCTCTGGGCTGCCAGCTGCTCAAAAGGGGATCGGGAATCCTAAATCCTCACAGTAGCATGTATAGCCCAAGTCAACCTTGACATGGGACCATACTGCACCATATTGGGACAGAGTTTCTATCCGCTTGCCCACTTACATGCATGCACACGTGTACATACACATGTGTCATATGTACTTCTTTGTGGGGCCATAGTTTTCCATGGCACGGAATAGGCACCAAACAAACCCCGACCCAAAACGTCTGGACTCACGAACCGCAAGCACGATTTACAAAAGCAGCCCTGGCCCCTGCTTGAGTTGCAATCAAGCCACGACAATGAGTTAAGCCATGATTATAAGTCGCCTAAATAATGTAGGGTTTTCATACTCAGAATAGGGTTTGGCGGTTCCTTATTATAGTTTACAGTATATACCACACCCTATTCTAGTTATTAAGGCCCCTATATTACATGCTGAAAGCAGGCCGGTGTGTCGAGCGACCCAACCCTGAACCCCGCACACCGAAGCCCAACCTCCAGACAATCCAAAACACCTAATACAGGGGCCTTTATAATTAGAATAGGTTTTGGGGTATATTATACTGTAATTCCAACATAAGGAGCCCACAGAATGGTATCGGTAATGATTTCGGTCTGGCAACTGCTCTTGTCGGGGCCTGCCTCTGCAGCATTTTCATGGCAGCCTGTTGCTGCGCCTCCGACTTGTTCGTGGCCATTGCACCGTGCACCTGCGCAAACAAATCAAACGGAATTTATGTGGTTTTGTAGACATGGTGTAAGTTTATTTTGACAGGGGTTTGCTAGGATGTCTAGTGTTTAACGGTTGCGTGACTAGTTTATACGGTCTCGCTTCCAACGAAACTGCAAGCAGTTGTACTTCAAGAAATCGTACTCTAGGCCCAGCGCAGGAAACTTATCATAAGCACTTTCGCAAACATCCTTTCAATTACATGATACATCAGTACTAACCTTGGCAGCATGCTACTTAAAAGCTCACCCAATCAAACCCTGCCATACCTTTACTCTATAAGCCATCGAGCCTGCCACAAAAACCTCGGCGCCTTAATCTGCCTAAGTCCTATATCCTATCACAAATTTCAACACCCCTAAAGCCTAACCCTAAACCCTAAACCCTAAACCCTACACCCTAAACCCTAAACCCTGAACCCTAAACCCTAAACCCTAAACCTAGACCCTAACCCCCCATTTAACCCCAGGTCCCAGAGCCTGGAAGCCCTCGCTCTCGCCAAAAACACAGCACCCAAAACCGTGAAAGCTTTTGGGTCACGTCCCCACAAACTTTCAAAAAGGGCCTAACTAATTGCCAATATTATTTTGGGGATTCTGTATTATAAAGGTATTATAATGGGCCCCAAACCCGAATCAAATTATTAAGGCCCCTATATTAAGGTTTAGGGTTTAGGGTCTTGTCAGCAGTTTATGCTCAGGTGCTTTTCGGGGCCCGAAACCGTGACCCCCCCATATCGGCCCTACCCCCTAAACTTCCGCAGTTTGTAGTTAAAGTGCTTCTTTGCGCCCCCAAACCTAAACTCCAGTTTAGCAGCCCTCAACCCTACCAGACCCTAATACCCTAAACCCAAAACTCCATTCAAGAATCTCCAGACTATAAGCCTAAACCCCTAAAAATCTCCAGACTCTATCCCTAAGCCCCTAAAATCTGCGGAGCTATGGAAAGCTAGAAGCAAGCATGAGGGCAGCCTGGAGGCCCAACTCGGGCAGAGAAATCACCTGGAGCTCCTATTCAGGGGGGTTGGCGTAACCCAGACTTTCCAAAATCCCTTAACTAAGGAATATAGCTGAAACTAAAGCAGGATTCCTAATACGATTTAAACGTTTAAGGTATATTCCTTATTTGAGGGATATTGGAAGGTCCGGGAAACTCCGTTGCAAGAATAGGACGACGAATATGATTAGTATAATCTTGGCTTTAGCAGCAACAGCCGTAACAACGATGAACAAATCAATGCTAGTCTCATTGTTATGATCAGCAGTAGGGTTAACCGAAATACAACCTACATAACTAGAATCCTAGGGTGAAAAGTCATGCACTCAGCCAAATAGCCACAATAACACGTAGGGCATAACACCCCAAACCCTAAACCGCTAAACCCTAAACCCTAAATCGCCAAGTCACCCCCTGGAACCAGCTCTGGCCCTTGGCAGCCTGTCGAGGGGACAGCTTTGAGGGGATTCTTTCGAAAGGGTGTCTCAAGCACAGAAACATTGAATCTGAAACACCAGCCAAACCCTAAGCCCTAAACTGAAGTTTCGCAGGTTTCAGCTAGGAC